AATAATTCATCCGTCGGAATTCCGTCGGTTTGAGTGGCCGTCGGAAATCCGTCGGTAAAAGCTGCCGTCGGAAATCCGTTGGTAAAAATTTTCTTCGGAAGTCCGTCGGTCACCACTGTCTTCGGAAATCCATCGGTAAAAATTTCCGTCGGAATTCCGTCAGATTCCAATCGCCGACGGACTTCCGACGGATTCCGGTTATCCTTTTTCCGTCGGAAATTCGTCAGGTTTTTCCGACAGATATTTATTTCCGACGAGATAGAACCGACGGACCAAAACCGTCGGAAATCCCTCGGAATAGGGGTTATTCCGACAGATTTCCGACGGTTTTGGCCGTCGGAAACGACCCTGTTTTCTTGTAGTGGTTGCAGAAAAGGGATTAGATTTCAGAGAAGTTGCAGAGTTATTATAGCAACTGTTTGCTTGATTGAATCCATCAACTAATTCAGTTTAACAAACCCATTATCACACATTGATAATCTGACACAAACACAACATAAGAATCAACTTAGAATCATTTTGTACACAAAGGACCTTTTGCTCTTCGAGAAACAGAGACAATTCTAGAGAAATTATTTGAAGAAATCAGCAAATTCTACATTTCTTGTACTAACTAGGTCGAGGTCAATTTGGTATAACTTACACTTGCTTAACAGAGATTTCAACAAAAAAACACACATCAATACTTATAGAAGAAATTAATGACAAAGCAAAACACAGATGATGTGAAGAGAGAGGACACATTTATCAAGACAAGAAAACATTGTTGTTGAGATCAAGGTGCTTTACTAATCTCTTATAGTCATCCTCACATTTTTCTTTTTAGAAAATCCTTGGATTAGAAGTGGAGAAGCACCAGACAAGCCTATTGATATCACACATTGATAATCATTCTTCTAGTATCTCTAATAACCACACATTGATAATCTGACACAAACGCAAGATAAGAAATACACATCATCTAAACTACTTAAAATCATTTTGTACACAAGAGACCTAAAGTGTTCGTATCAGTTACCTGTTGTCTATTTCTTGCCATCTCCGTCAAAGAAATCATTCAAGTCAACTTCCTCTTTGCTTGACACTTGAAATTCAATCATCACGTAAGCAGTTCTATGACTCAATCTCTTCACCTAAAGTTTAGATGAGTTGGAAGAAAGAAAACACACATAAATAAACATAACCTAAATATAAAGATCTTGTCAACAACTGAAAAAATACCTTTTCATAGCAATTAAATGTATCAGTAAGCTTTAGGGCATCCTTCTATCCCACATTCTTCTATCTCGAATTTCTCCTTACCGATGATTTGAAACTCAAAGACTAATTCGTTGGACGAATTGGATAACCTTGGTAGATTCTTTGCTTCACAGTGGAATATGAACATATGCTTCTTGGAATGTGTGGATAGTTCGATGGTTGCCGAGCTACACGTAACATTGACACCATTCTGGTTTGCCTTGATGCGATAATTTACGTACAATATGTCGTCAACCTCAACGTCATCTTTATTGACCAGCAAGACGCATGCCTTAAATCTCAAGGATGTAGGAAAATGCGTATCAATTCCACTCAATTTCATTGGCAATGAACTCCCAGTGGCTCGGTAAGTGAAGTGTGGGGGCACTTTTTCTACGGGTAAGAGCGCCTTTTTATAACTGGATGTCTTGATGATGATGAGGTCTCTTGCTTCTTCACTCAATTTGAAGCAGTTACCAAAGTTGAGGCTGATAAGCTTATTATTCTGAAAAGAGCAATCTAGTCTCTCT